TCAGTCTAGAGAATTTAACACTACCAAAACACTTTTATACTGGAATTAGGTACTTGAAAATCAAGGGTGTTGATCTATAATTCATAGTTTTATATATTCAGTTTATTTACATAACAGGTTTTAAAGAGATTAAAAACAAAGATTGTTACGAAACTGTATGAATTCATTATATCTTACTAGATTTTTATCAACTGCTTACAACTTGTTCAATATTTTAAAGTCAAAGTGACCATAGAAATCAACATACTTATAAATATGAAGGTGATTAAAAGGAGTATGCTACATTTACGTGACAATATCGATTTTAAAATATCAAATAGGTTGTAAGCAGTTGATGAGAATCTAGCGAAATAACTTAATTAATTCATATCATTCTGCACTAATCTTTATTTTGCTCTTATCAAGATGATAAAGAGATTAATGTGTATGATATAACATGTTTGCTATATATTGCAGTCCTATTTTTATCTTTTTTCTTTTATTTATCTGTTCATTTCAGCAACTGATCAAGTAGTATCTGAGTATATAACAAGCTTTTTGCATCTAATTAAAAATAATAATAAAGAAAATGACTACGGAACTTTGTAAAGAAATGAAACGTAATCAGTACATAGAGAATCATGAACTCTATTCAAATCCTTATCAAAATAATTCAACAGGAAATAATCCATACAATTCAGAAATCTATAGTAAAGTAGATCATGAACGAAATGTACTTCACCCTCATCTCCATGCACCATTATCCTATGTAGTTCATAACCCACATGCAATTAGATTAAAACGCAGTTGTCACAATACAAAATGTCGTTATTGTTTCCCAAATGCTTCTAATAATAATCCATTTGATTTGGAAAGTCATTCATCATCTAGTGAATCAGCTTCACAGATAATGACTAGAAGTGCTTTAAATAATCATAATAATTATAAGAAATTTCTTGGTCTAAACAAAAGACCAACGTGTATAATACATGAAGAAACTACAGTAGATGACAGTCGACAAGATGTGATAAACGGAGGACAAGTGAAGATAAGACAAGAGAATGAAATTCCAGTGTTTAAAGAAGTTCGAACTAGTACACCATTAGTGAATCACACTACATTACCGAATAGAACCAATAATTATATTCCTAATTTGATAAAAAATAATTACCATCTAGAAGATCATCAAGAAGTATACTGGTCGGAGCAAGAAACTCCGTTTACAGTCTACAGTAATGCCAGTATAAATACTAATAGTAATCATAATAGTATTGTGGTTACAGGTAGACAAGCTGGTCTATTCAATCAAAAAAACCGTGAGTTGGACTTTTTGGGGTATATATTTTAGATATTTGTTTAAGAGATCCTCATTGAATAGATTGAACAATTAATCTGATTCTCAACTTGATCTGCAATAATGACGAAATTTACAGGCACTTCTTTAATTGACGAACCTATCAAAGTTCATTATGATTCTCCAACAAATTTTCTAGCGGACTTCCACGTATTATTTTGTGATTATATCGTTCTCCGTTCTACTTCTCCATTCAAATTCATCAATAATTCTGAATATCACTAAATGGAATCATCAACAAAGTTAATATTATCACCTGCATTATCAAGATAGTTCAGTCATTCATTTATCTGGAGAAAGAAATGAAATCAACGAAGCAACTATGACCGGCTTAATATCTTTAAAATTATGGACAGGAAGAGAAGTTCATAGAGTTAAGGAAGAAAAATGAAGAATTCTTCTCACTTTAACTTAATGCATACTTTATGCCACTGACCCTCTAATCCTATGTTTGCATTTAAAATTGTCTTCACTATTTTCCTTTATTCAAATTTATGTTAATAGTTTTAAAGCTTTTTCTGCAATTCACTCAGCACATAATCATAAAGTTGAAATGATTAAAAATACCGTTGGATGTCCGGCTCAGTGGTCTAGAAGTTAAGCGTTCACACGCGAGACCGAAGGTCCTGGGTTCGAGTCGAGCGTGTGGGGTTGTGGATGCACACGTTTGAAAAGTCCCATACTAGGATGAAACGGCCATCAAGTGTTTCAAAGTTCTCAATGGTTGTCTAGCTAAGATCGACTCACTGATTCAACTGTTGAAATTACAAAATAGACATTATATGTTTATCGTATTCATTCACATAAATGATGAAATAATAGATTGTTACACAGTTGATGAAGAATTTCAATACTCAATCTTCATAAATTTTTATATAGATTGAGATACAAAAAATAAAATGGTTCAGTAGATAATATTACGTTAAAATTTAATTGTTAAACCTGAACATTAAGCAATCGTAACCTTAAACATCCTCAATGCTTTAATATATTCGTGCTTTGAATTCTGGAGTTGATGACAATGATAATTAGAATTTTCAGCTGAGTGTAAGCTAGGGTACATAAATTCAAATTCCTGTTTCAAATTAATTTTCCATGTCGGAATTCTTCTAGAAAATATACCGACATTAGAATAGAATTGGGTATACCAACAACTACAAACAATCCATAATTTTTATAATTCTGCTACTCTGACTCCAATTATTTGATTATTTACTTATTTATTTCAAGTTTTGGCAATTAAAAAGTAGGGTAATATTGTTTTAAAGCTAAAAATCGTATACTGAAAGATAGAAAGACTATATAGTCGATTAATGGACGAACAAGAATAGCGTTTACTGGCAATCCACTTCAGTTATGATGAAGCGTGGATTACATCTTGCTCTACAAAAAAAATGTAACAGAAAACTACCACAGGATCGTTATTGATTTTCATTTCAAGAAACCTTGTCATGAGTCTAGCTATTGAGTTGCACAATTTTTAGGATTCCATTCACTTTAGGAAGAACCAACTGCTACCACTTCAATACAACAATCTTTCAATTCACAATACAGTATCATATGATGATCATCTCTCCGCCTTTCCACTTAGTCTCAGAGTTGACAAACGCTGTATTAAACATCTAGGGTGACGATACAAAGTAAGTATTTCAAAATGGTAACACCTACTTAATTATCATGATAAAGTTCTGAACTTTATCATCACTTACATGTTACTTCCGTAGAATGTGAGAAATTCATTAAAACTAATGTCTCCCAGTGTCTGCAACATTTTCCAACCTGTTTAACGGTTTCAAGAACACTGACTATTCTATGATGTAACATGAAGTCAGATATTGGCAACGGTAATTACATAGTTGATTAATTACTGCAACAGTAGTGGTAACAGTAGTAGTAAAGTCGTGAACAAATACACAATATTTCTTTTTGAACTAAATGGTTTACAAAATGGATTGACATCAACTAGAGATCTACTGAGAATAAAACAGCACAATGTTCTTTTTTGTATTTGTCAGTAACGTTCATTTTTAACCCTAAATTGAATCGAAACTAAGTAAATTCCAGTCCCTGAGTGAATACATCAGTGTTACCTATTATGTTTACTTACTTCAACAAGCTCACGTTATAGGGACAATTATCTTCAGTTTATACAGTCCATTGTATAAACGATTATTTTCGTCGTTGTATAAGTACTATCTCATTCATGTGAACATATAAATCAATTATCTATTTAGCTAACAGAGTCATACAAAATGAATCAATTGCAACTCCGACAAATACAACGGAAACTTCAATGACGACTAATGTTTCAATAGAGAATGAAATGGTATCTAAGACCACAACCAATAATCTATATAAAAAGGAAGGAAACACATTTTTACAAAAAATATTTAAAAAACCACAATCAACGATTATTGAAGAAAATAACAAACTGAGACTACGTTTAACCTCCTTAACAAACAGTCCAGAAAATAATCAATCAATTCCATGCACTGAAATAACAACTACACCATATTCTCTAAATATGCATGATTTACAGAAACATAATAATCATAATCATGATCCGGATCGTGATGATTTATCTGTTATTTTTGGTATGAGTTCAGTAAATCAATTAAAAAATCAATCAAGTTATTTAAATCTACCAGGTCGGTCAGTATGTATGGAATTTTAATGGTGCAAAATTTTACATTATAATGCTTTATGTAAAATTGCAAATTTAAAACAACAACAACAACAAGGTGTACTCTCGCTCACATACAAACCCATTATATTTTGATAATAAATGCATCAGTTAGGCCTTTTTTCTCTCAAAAGTTTTGTTTTTCTGACAACAAACAAATGATCATACCTGTTTTGAGAGACAGGCTAACATTATACTAGTGTGTTTTTTTTACTAGAAATAATTTCCTAACTTATATGTGTGTTGTCATGTGGTGGTAGCTAACCTTTAATATATATTTATGTATATTGGAGAATTCTCTCACAAATAGAAAAGGAACAAACTATCTCCAACCTGTTTAATCAATATTACATGTATAAATAGTTGAATTGAATTCTTTTGTTTCAGTCTCACATAAATAGCCATGCCTGATCCGATTATCATGAGAAATCGACTGAAAAAAATATCTAAGAATTAATAAATTCATTGAAGTTTATCTACTGTTGTGTTATTCACTATCATGGTCATTACTTTCATGATTCTAAACAAAAAAAAGTGCATGTCATTCCACTAATCCGTTTCGTCATCCCTAGATAATGATTATTGATGTCTCACCAGTATTATTTTTTTTCTCATAATTGGTTAGGATGTTCATCTGCTTCATCTTCCGTGTGTTTCTTTATACAGATTTTGTCATGATCATGGCAATAAAAGTCACACTATCATAACTACCGCATATGATAATAATAATAATTATTATTATTGTTTCCACCACAAAATTTACCAATATACGTTGAAATTGTCAAATTAATAGATTGTTTTTCTTTCTTTTTCTCTCTTTTCTTCACTACTCAACTGGTTTGTGTATACATGTGTGTGTATGTGTGCGTATATTTGTATTGTGCGTGTTTGTACTGTTCGTATGTACCAATGCCTTTGATTGTATGCATGCATAAATATTTGTGCTTTGGCAATTGTATGTTGTGTGTTATCCAAATATTCTAGCTATTTACAAATCACAAATTATTTCAAATGATGGAAATTTCTCAGCTCCTAAACGTGCAATTAGTCATACAAATGTTTATGGTCCACGATCATGGAATTTACGATCATATCAAGGATCTGGTGAGTTTTTATTCCAACAATAAATTTATAATATACTACAATCTCCACAAAATACCCTTTCTGATAATAATAATCATGTGCTCACTAGTGACTGAATTCAAGAGGAGTTCTAGTGAGAAGCCGTGACCAATGGAGTTCAACCGTGTTTGTTGTGAGACAGTAACTCACTGAAGACAATGGTGGATGTGTCGCTCAATTTGGTGGATTGGTTGAAGTTAGACATTAACACCGTTGGATACCGGCAAACTGTCAAAAATCCATTAATATTATATAATTACTAAAATGATTACATACTTCAATCAAAAGCGTAATAAGAATGAACAGCTTCATTATCGTTTAATCCTGATTCCTTAACAGTATGAACTTGATTTAACTTAATACCTTTAAAAAAAAGATAAATTATGACCTGTACAGTTCAATTAGTTATATACGGTGTGGGTTAGTCAGTACTAATGACATCGCATACGAGCTGTGTTATATCGTAAAAATGACTGAACTTTCAAATACTGACGATTGCATTCCAAACTAATAATCTAAAAATTATTTCTTTTTCCGAGACTTAAGATTTTATGGTTCGATCCCTGACTCTATATACTGACTAAACGAAGCATCTACTAAATCTCTCAAAACTTCTAGGAAACCTCCATCGATATAATTCCAATTTTCCTAAAATATTAATTCACTATAGAAAATATTTTATTTTGAAATACTTGACTATTATTCATTTCTTTATACAACATTAAGATATGAAGTAGAATAATGAGTTAAATGGATAATTTTATTGGTTATTCAAATAGTCTAAATACTTTCATTCAGCGTATTCCATTAAAACAAATCTAATATGTACTTGAGTTTATCATTAAAACGTTTCAGAATTGTTTGTCGATTTTAATAATGAAATGATTCATTGAAAATTACCCGGGTTTCGATTAATTACCTCAAACTACCTCAAATTAAATGTCGTTTTCAGATACCTACAAACTATCTGAAAATGAGTAACAATCTGGATCATTCCGTTTCCAAAAACAACCTTCATTCGAAATCTGTAAATCACCAGTTCAAATACTGTTAATAACATACATATAAATAAGGAATACAAATTTTGCTAAACTGTTTAAAAATCTCTTTGTGTATTATAAACTTTATTTCAGAGTCTGATTTAGCATATAAACGTGAAATGTTATCATCATCATCTTCACGTTTGGCACGTAGTGGTTATTCAGCCAGACGAGAACGTTTGAAACAAGAACGTGAACAAGAATTATTAAGGCAGACAAGATTAAGACAAATGGCTGCTTCATCAACTGGACTACATGATCACCGTCATTATCAACAATCTAATGTCCAACAACAACATTACCGTTCAACTTCAGCAGTTAATGTAAGTTAAAACACGTTGATGAATGTTTACAGATATGACGAAAAGTATCTTTTTTCTGTAATCACTATGAACTATGAAGTATATTCCATCTAGGTTTGTTTCATCACAATCCTTACACATAAGCTACTAACAAGACGAATGAAAAGTATTTCTTTATAAAAGGCTTTATTGTTAAGTATCAGTCAAACCGTCATTGTCTAAAAACTATCCAGTCAACTTTCATTCATTTGGGCTTATTCACTTTCTTGTTGAAGAACATATATGAATGAAATGGAATCCATGTGGAATGTATTGAGACAAATACTAGCGACGACACAGAATGAAGCTGATGTAATATAATCCAAACTAACTGAAATCGAAAACGTAGGGTATTTGAATTTTAACTCAGTGAACCAAAAAGTACCTGACTTCTTTCAAAGCTTGAATTTGAAGAGTTTGGTCTCTAAAGAGGCATTAAGTGTACTTTTATGAAAGTTTTAAGCTAGATTAGAAAAATGCTCATTGGTTTAAATTAGTTGTGTATTTAATTCTGTCCTATAATGAAAAGTCACTCCAACTTACTTACACACATTGTTTTTACTTTTCTCCAATAAATATCACTCAACAGATCATTCAGAATGATGACAAAACTATAAATAACACGAATTGAGATAGTTATAATGAGGTAAGAGGGTTATAGAGTATATCTTCTTTACACAGAGATTGGATTTCTTAATTTCAACTCACATATTCTGGAATTCTAAATTCTACATGAGATGTAACGAGACAAACTGGCAACTTATGCCATAATTTCAGAAGTAATCAACAACTTTATAGCAACTTATCATTCTGTAAAACGATACACATGTAGTTAGAAAGTTTTAACCTAGAATGGAATACATAAAGTTCATGGTGATAATACATTATGAAGACAACTGTTTGAAATATAAAAACTATTTAAATAATTCAATGCAAAATGTAATCGATTCTGTAGTGAATTTATAAAGCAACAATAAAAGATATATTTTTCACTGTGATAAAAATATTTAAGTGCAAGAATATAAATCAACTAAATAGTTATCTCATATTGAAGAAACAACACCTCTAAAATCTTCTTACTGAATTACAACTATTCTTCATTATTGAATGGTGTTCGTTAGGGCTGTCCACTCTCTCCATTCTTGTTTAACTTTGTCGTCGATGTGCTTTTAGAGATGTCACTTTTCTCATCTAAATTTCCAGGAGTTGAACTCCTACCGGGAAATTCACATGTTGACTTAGAATATGCCGATGACATGGTTCTATTTGATGAAGACGCTGACAAAATGCACAGTCTTCTGACCCCTCTAAGCAAAAATGCAAGCATGTTCGGGATGAGATTCTCACCCTAGAAATGTAAAATGTTGCTTCAGGATTGGGTTGCATCGACACCCGACCTAATGATAGGGAGTGAAGTAGTTGAGCGTGTCTGATGTATGACGAACTCTCAGAACGGATAAAAAAGGTTCGATTAGTTTTTGTCAACTTGCGTCATTTATGGCGTAGGCGAGATAGCCGTCTACCAACCAAAGGACCGTCTCACTTTATACCAGTGAAACATGGCCGGTAAAAGTAAAAGATACTCGTAGATTACTAGTATTCGATCATAGGTGTCTTCAAAGCATTGCTCGTATATCCTGGGACCACCGAGTAAGTATTGTAGTTGTTAGAAGTCGAGTACTAAGTAAGGATGGCAAATCAATTGATGAAGTAATGAAACCTTATCAGTTGAGGTTGCTGGGATATATTTTACATATGCCCAGCCACTGACTGCCCCGATGTGTGATGTTTTCTGGTGTAGGAGTAGGTTGTAAGAAAGATAGGGGCGGCCAGACCAAAACATGTCACAAACCCATGAATTCTCTGACAAATGGACTGAGCCATGTTGATATGTGTAGACTACCTGGTTGTTATCCGCGAGATGATAGCAACCGATGGTTGGAGACCCTGAATGACTTGACTCAAAACCGTTTACAATGACACAGGTACATCCACTCTTTGTGTTCTCCCAAATTCTAATCTGCTGAAGTCTTCATGTCCCTTTTTTTTTCTTTCCAAATTTACTTCATTGGATTATACTCCTTGAATAATATTTTCAAACGCTGATCTTTCCGATTACTGCTTATACTCTTATCACCTCTACCACTACGGGATTTGAATCGACAACTGCATCTCTGTGCTGATGTGGTGTGGCAACTCGAACTGATGTACGTACGTACGAAGTTCTACGTTGTTACTGACTGACTGACTACATTATTGAAAACTTAAATACTGTTCATAAATAATAGACATTTCAGTAATTTACAGTGTAGATAATGAAATTAATTCAGTGAAAAATAATGGATTATAGAAATTGAAATATTCATTGATAATTTGGTGTTTACTGTTAGGTATACTATAACCTAACTTATTACTTAAAAATAACTTCAACATTAAAATGGATATGGATTCCTCGGAACATCTTTAAAAAGTATAAATAAACTGTTATTCTCACTAAACATCTGCTTTTTAATTATCCCAGATGTATCTATGAATTGTTAGATGTAATTGAAGTTTATGAGAGTAGATACTTTATGCTAAATGTGAATCATGTAATTAAATATGTTACTTGATGATTAAGAAGTTAATTTCATACTTAAATGAATTCTGAATTGTAACATGTTTATCTGTCATCCAACTATTTTTTCTGCATTATCATTCCTCATAAAAGTTAATCTTGGAAAGATAAATTTCTCTTTACACATATATATTCATACTTCCTTTGTTTGTGCAAAGGTTATATGTAGTAGATATGAATTTAAGTGAATTAATCCGGATTTATAAATGCTGTCTTTATTTAATTAACAAGTCGAATTTTGGAAAACGCACTAGTTTCCCTAAAATACCCATAATTTTATTCCTGATCTGATATCACTGACTTGGTTCCAATCGAATAGGTGAGAAATAAGGTAAAAGTATGGTGTAAGACCATGCTTAAAACAACCACAACTAATATCCAGCTAGTTTCTGGTCAATGAAAATAGCCTTCTATCAATGGATAGTTTAAAAAAAACAGTAATTATTGTGAACTATAAACGGAGTTTACATAATTATTAGGGTCTGTCTGCCTGTAAATGTAAATAACAACCACATGTAAATTTATACTAATGGATAAAGATTATCTACATTGTCAAACCATTCAATCGATTTTTAAGAGTCCTTACATTGTTCGTGGCTAGGGTTCAGTAATTAGAGTTGAGGTTCTCATCAAAACCTAACGTTAGCTACAATGCAAAAATGTTCTGTAGCTACATGTATAGATATATTTCACTCCAAATATCTGATTAGGTTCATCCATCAATTCTACTACATGGTAGCCGCAACAGGTAAGGGGTATTTTTCTAAATGAAGAGTTTAGGGTTAGGATTTAGTGTTGGTATCGATTTTCCCATTATATACAATCTACAAAAACAGAATTCAGCTTTTAATTCTTCAATTCTTTTAATTCTTCTTTATTTCTTAATTCATGTTTACTTCATAGTGGAAAAAATTTTTCTCTGCCATTTTGAACTTTTTGAACAGTATACAAGGGTATTTCTACTGCTCGTGATACGTAACACTTGAATTTTGTTTAAGAACATGAAGGTTGTAGTCTTGACTTTAATTGACTTACCCCCAAAGCATACTTTTATCAGTCAGAATATTCAATATTATACTATTTACAAATGTTTAAGACAATTTATATTATTTTTAACTTGTCAAAAATTATTTGACTCATGGAGAATTGTGAAGATTGTAGTAATTTTGATAGTTGAATTCATGAGTCGATCTAAGCTAGATCACCATTGAAAATCTGGAAGCATAAGACAGCAGTTTTTTCCTAGCATGGGGTTCCTCAGTAGTACACATCCCAAACATTAAAATTATAGAATCGTAACATATCTTAATAATCAGCTTTTCTTTTTATTCTAATCATTAAAAATTAATGCTAATTAATTATTAAAAATTAATGATTTTTCAACTTCAGTAGTTGAGATCATGAGTTAATTTAAGTTAGACCACCAGTGTAGTTCAACTGAGTCAGTTGTGAGATAGTAACTCACTGATGACAACGGTGAATGTGTCACTCAATTTCGTGGATTATTTGAAGTTAGACACAAACGCCGTTGGATGTCGGTTCAGTGGCCTAGTGGTTAAGCACTCGCGCGCGAGACTTATAGGTCCGGAGTTCGAACTCCGTGTGGCGGGGTCACGGATGAGCACTGCTAAGGAGTCCCACAATGGGACGAAACGGGCGTCCAGTGCTTCCAGGTTTTCCATGGTGGTCGAGCTTCAATTGACTCATGATCTCAACTATTGAAATCACTACAATCTCCACAAAACCCCTTCTGATACAAATTTCTCAACATCCTATTTTATTCATTTTACTTGAGCCATATTTTGACCTTGTCAATTATTCGCTTATTAGCCTTGACTGTTTTCACATAAGCATATATGTGTGTACACTTCCGACGTGGGGCTCGAATCCACGACCCTGAGATTAAGAGTCTCATGCTCTAACGACTGAGCTAGCCGGGCTGGCGCCCGATGGGGGGCCGGAAGTTAGAATAAGGTATATGGGCTTGCCATAATAACTGACACTACATCTATGTTGAAAAAATCTTCATGAAGTTGTATTTAAATGTAATAATGTAACATTTTAGTTACATTTGATTATGTAATCAAATCATTTCTTCCAATCTGTCTCCATATTCACATTCAGAATGTTTTTTTTCAAAAAAATATAAGACGTATTCCTTTAATTAATTATCTGTCTATCTATAAGCATATTTACATCAAATATGTTAATTAAAAGAATCTAATAAATGAAATCTGTACATTATTTCAAAGAACCTACAATAACATGTGATCGAATAAGCAGCTGAGAGTTAGATTTTACAAAAAAAAACAACCTAGATTCTAGTCAGTTTTGATTTATTAACTGTGGGATGTAAATATTATTTTATAGACTATAAATAATAATTATTGCTACATTAGTATCCTGTAATGCCCTTGGATAGACATATTTAAATGCTGGTTATAAATTAGTTGTTTAGTATTATAATAAAAAAAACACTATTAGTTACTATAGTGAAAATTGACAAGCATAAGTGAGCGTCTTTTAAGAAATTAAATACAATGAAATCAGCTGTTCTCTTTTTAAACTAACCCAATATATATACATATCCTTGTACTAATAATAGTTAAATGTGATTTTCAGTGATCAGCTAATAGTAAATTACATTAAATTGTATAACCATTTGTGCTACCTTAATCCTATCAATCAAATGACAGCTAAACTGCCGATTAAATAAAAACGGCTTGACATCACAAATAAAGATAGGTAATGACTAACAGTAGAATCCGAGACGCACTTTTCATCCTATTTGGGACTCGTCAGTTGAATGTACCTGCATCTCAGAGTTAATATTTTCCATGAGTTATCCTTGACATACTCCATCATTTCTTCAATCTTGTTGTCATTCTGATCGCTCTCTCTTTTTCTTTCTGTTTTGATTCTAATCTTCTGACGGTAAACATTCCACTTTGAATCCCTGTTATATGCTACTTATGTCTGTCCGTATAAGTGGAGCACACCACAGTACTAGACACTACAATATCATATTTTATAAGTATCAATTCGACAACAAAATGCAGAAAATAAAAATTAGAAATAAGTTGAGAACCCTGTCAAAAAAACACATTTTGATAGTTTAGTTTGCATTAACATACATAGAAAGAGTGTAAAGTTTTTTTTTCAATTAATTTGTAAAATGAAATAAACTGTATACATCGATACTCGATAAGTTGAGTGAATATCCTAATTGAAATGACTATCATGTAGTTTATAGGCTAAACGTCCAACAAAGTTTACCGTTTTCTAAAAACATGTTAGATTGAAGTTATACTAAAGGTTACACTCCATCGCAGCAAATAGATATAACTTTAAGATGAGACTTAATGAATCATCATTAGAGTTTTCAAGCTTCATTTAATTATAGAATCACTCTCTAGCAACCTAATATTACTTTTTATGTTGTCTCATTTACGATATAATTATTTTGGATTTAATATTTAGGAAATCGGTCGAAAGGAGATAATCCAAAAGGTATGTTAGTATCAAGAATGCTTCTAATTATAAGATTGACAAAATCTCATGATTTTCAGTCATTATCATTTTGTCAAATGAAAACTTTTTATACATGATGCATGTATGTTCAATTGATTATTTCTTCAGTTCCATCATTGTTCTACTACTCATTATCCTGCTTGATAGATAAGTTTTAATTCTATGGTTAACTGAAATGCCAATTGCTTATAAATAATTTGCCATACATTAAATATTATTTGAAGTAAATATTTACACCAAATGTTGAATTTTTATAGAGATCTATGGGAAATACTGAAGCCTTTGAAGAATTCGAAACAATTACACTACAACCAATAGGTCGAGGTGTACAAGATCTTGATTCACATGTCGGATCAATGACAACACTTGCACGAGGAGGTGGTGCTTCGTCTATGATTGAAGGTAAAACTTAATTATTATATGTATTTTATATAATATGGCGTATAATGCAAATAGATGTGCAAGTAGATGTATTTTGATCACACTGAGAAAAATTCTAACAAATCACTTAAGTAATATGATATCATCCTTTATAAAAGAAATGTTCTGGTTGTTTGGCTATGAAACTTGGAACTTGAATAGATGGGTAATCATTTCATGTCATTTATATAGTAGGGTTTTTGCATCAACTTCTTTTAATTAACGATTAGACCATTATGTGTAGACAATATAATACCATCCAAAATGAATAGGTTAAGTTGACTTTTGAAGCACACAGGCGAATTCATCTCTAATTCCAATGCTTAACTGACTGAAATGTCTTCTCTAATAATGTCACAGGTTTTAATCATACATTTCTATTGAGAACAACTTAATGCACACTTCTTAGTATAGTCCCAACTACTTTAAATTCAAAATCAACTGAGATCTTAGGTACTTGGAGGTAGTCGATTGTTAACATTGGAATCAGATTTTTGGCTAGTTATCACTTGTCAAAAAGGCGTATATGTAATCATTAGGTAACTGATACTTTTTGTGGAAATCGAAACCACGTCAATTAACTTCACTATTTGAGACGTTACCACTGAGCTATTCCGGCCGCCACTAAACTTCTGTATGACATAATTTGTAAATATTCCTTAATCGATAAGTTCATATACGATTTACAAACTGAAATAATGCAGAAACTAGAACAATACCTGAAATGATAAATTAAACCACTTAGAAGATTATAAAAAGCTATAATTGAATACCGAGACTTTGATTTAAATTTGGCAATGATTAATTATATATTCATAGAATAATAGTTCTTTTCAAAGATATTTATATATAAACATAAATACACAAAAATAATTTGCATTTATATTGACTTAATTGTCTTCTATCTAGAACTATAAATATGAACCATGTGATGATCACTTTTGCCTAATGAAACTTAACACTGATCGTATTATGTAATAATTAAATTCCAGATTTATATTGTTTCATTTTACAAATAACATTCATGAAACAATAATTTAAGTTAGATACTTAACTAAGTATGTCTATCTATATTCAAAGGATAATTAAGCTGTGAATTTTAACAACATCATCTTCATAGATATTGTCTAGAAATGTGTTTACTTCTGTTACTAACTTTTAACAATTGTGTATTTTGATTCATTAAGTTGCCAAACCTCCTTACAATTATTCCTTAATGATATTTTAAACTAATAGATAATGATTTATTCCGATAATTGTTATCCAGTTAGGCAAATAATTGGTACTCATTGAAAGGAAAAGAAATATCTAACACCTGGATTATCATATTCATTCTAACATTAGACCATTCGAAAGTTATTTTCTAACTATTGTGGCTTTAAGGCCGGCTTATTATTACGCCAATCTAGTTACGATCCATTTAATCTTAGTACTGTGGCAAACCAATGACGTTCGACCTATATGAACAGCCTAGCGTCCTTTTGGTCCCTTGTCCACCTAGCCTGTTCGGTTGAGTCCAGAATGCCAATAACAGGCTCCGTTATGCGAATCGTTTATTTCAAATATACTTGGTTTATATACCAGCCAAACAGACCACATCACATCATAAAATAGGAAATAACATTTATACAAGATCAAGCCAAAATGTGGATGTGAACGTAGGAGACTGTAATGAGTAAACTGAACATAAGACCAGTGAATTATATAATAATAATCTTTAGATCAAAATGAAGCTTATAATAAGGGGAATATAGGTGTACTGAATAGTTATACAATAAGAATATATAGATAATATTAGTCTACTAATAGTTCTCAGAAATCACTCATAATTTAATCTTCGCTAGGATATAACACTAACTTTATGTGAGTTTTCTACTTAGTGTCTAAAGGAAAAGTGTAAATTATTCATATGTGATGTTGCATTATATACAAACAATAACTGTGATTATTGTATTGATAATATGACTCAAGAGTTTTTAGTTAACAGTCAAGTTTTCACATTGTTGATTCTCAATCCCATTTTATTTAAATATAATTACTATAAAGAAGATTAACAGTTTTAAATCGAAAAGTTTATTTGATCATCCGCATAAATTAAACATATACATCCTCTCAACAGAAATGTCCTATTACACCGACATTTTCAATAGATTGCAATTGAATTTACACTTTAGAAATATATTTCAGTAGTATATGAGTATATTGTTGCTAACCATTGATCAAAACGATGTCAAACATTAGGATTATATTTGTCATTTTTAAACGTCCTGTCAATCTGTTGACATTAACTAATCAATAATATAATGCATATAGAAATATAAATAAATTACTTAGTTACATAATCTCTTCTTCCTGACAATAGTTATATCCAGTGAATGAATTAGAATTCATTACAAGTTATTAAGATATCTTTTATTGTTGTAAATCTTTCGAACATATCTCATTGATAGATTTGAATGCTATTTCTATACTTATCTATATATACTTAACCAGTTATACAAAGCCTTGATAAGACTTTATCATAGAAGGAACTTGACAGATCAGCATCATTCTTGTGTTAATAACACTTCATAAAGAAATATAACTGTTCTAGCATACTCCTTGATAAAACCTATATATTTTGTATTATTATTGACTCTATATATAATCAAAAACATTCATTACTATCGTGTTATAGATTACAGTTAAGCTAGAATATCTACATGTCATTCGTTAGATTACTATATACTACATATAATTTCACTGATAAACTTGATAGGTAAGTAAGTAACGAAAATATGTTCATCTTTTAGATAAACTAAATAACTTCTTATCTAAAATACCTTTGGCTGATAAACTGATACATGCTAAATAGTGACAAATCAGAATGAGATAAACAAAATATAAATAGAGAATAAGGTTGTATTAATATATCCAGAGTGTATTTAGTTATTTTCAAGGAAAAAAACCCATTGTATTGTAATAATCTTACTAAACTTCTAAATGTTAAGTAACCAGGTGGCTTAAAAATTAACTTGGATATTGAATTTCAGATAAATAGACCAATATTTTACCAATGTCGAAATTCAATCAAATTTATCGCTTCCATTATCTCTTATGATACAAAATAAGGATCATAAAATGCATGTGCTTCATTAGGTTGGTTACTGAAAATGACAATCACTTCTAGCTCAACAATAAAACACTATGATAAGTGAATATCTACTTGAAATATTTATGATTTTCAAGTTTTTTTTATAGTAAAAGATTGTATAATCACTTTTGGGCACTTAATACTCTGTGATGTTTATTCAAGGATTAGAGGGTATAGTAATCTCCATAAATATAAATATTTATATAAATTCACTAGTATATTTAAGTAACGAATAAAGTGAATTATCCTACTATTCTTCTTCAGAAGAAAATCTTTTGTGTATTTCAGGTAAGAAAGATTTAGAAGACACAGTGAACATTACAAAATAACAATAAATACAACAAACATTCTCAGTTTACCATTATAATTACCGAATTTGTGTTTTTTTCTAGTTAGCGTTTTTTTAGCGAGTTAGTTTTCTACAGCATGGGGTCAGTAACCCCATGCTCAACCGTCCTCCTTTATCGGGACAGCTTGATTCAACGGTTATTGTTGAGCTAATTATCTAGTTCAATTTTATATAAAGTAGACACTGACAATGCCGTTGACAACCATAATGAACGTTTCATATTATTAACATTCAGATCAAAAAAGTCAACATAACCAAAACGATCCACCCAAGATATAGATCATCATTATCATAAGATAAAAATACTATTCTTATTTCGTTCACTACATTATTCCTAGAACTTTATTGTCGCTTAATATTTAGAAGTATATTATCATTGTTACTTTGCAGTAAAAAATAATATTGTGATAACTATTTCTGTTACGTAGGAGCTAATACGAGTATTAGATCCTACTGACTGTTATTCAACATTAAAAAGAATTTACTCAAGTATCTAACATACTATCTCTAGACTTTTAACATAGACAGAAAATTACTTATTAAAGCTACAAACCTATCTAAGTTAAGCCATCATTGTAAACCTGGAGGAGTTGGATGGCTGTTTTCTCTTAGCCCGGCACTCCGACACAGAAGATCAAAACCAGGATCTTTAGTATGCATGTGGATGTTTAACTCCCAAACCGGGATCCATTGGTGTACAAGTCTATGATCACTTGAGTCTCTACAATACGCAACCACCTCTCATTGTCTTTGGTGGGCATCTTCCTCAACCGTATCAGGTTTCATAGATGCGCACTGCTGAGGAGCCGCATAGTTGGGCGAAACAGCTATCCAGTGCACCTACGTTTTCAGTTGTTGTCCAATTTAGATCAATAATCTCTGCAACACCCCATACTGTAAACAGTATCTCATAAATTATAACTAAACAATTTATTTGTAAGAAATGTGAAAGAAATTATTTATTTGTAATCATTTCCGTTAATAATTTCTGTAATAACTTTCCTTTTCTTTCTTACTTCCATTCTCTGCATGCTAATCATGATTCATTTATGTGTTCACCATTTTTGTATGCAAATTATATTGCGCTCACTGTGTTTTTTCGTTTATATATATATATTTATTTATTTACCAAATATGCTGTGCTAAATTTGAATAAAACAACAATTTATACTTCCTAACAAAGTTCATAAGCATACATTTCGAACTCCAAGAATGTATTCACCAACTTCGTATCATTTCAATCGTGCTCATAGTACAACACCAACTCGTTATAGTAGACCTACTAAAGGGTTTTCCAACGGTTTATATAAAAGTCACTCTGCTTATAGTGGTTCAGTTGAAACATGTCCTATGTTTAAATCTCATACACCTGATCCAGGACGAGATATTACTGGTTCTCCTTTGTGGACAGCATTGCCAAGAAATTCAAGTACAACACCTACCACTTGTAAAACATGGAGAAGCGAAAGAAATGTAACTACTACACCACTAGGACAAATTACTTATGAAGATATGATGCCAAATACACAAATGGCAAAAATTCAGGTATTAGAATCAAGTGAATTACCAACAACATTGTCTCCATATTCTAGAAAATCTGCTAGTCTACAGCCAAATGAAGTTGTAAAAAAAGATATAAGAGTGTTTGAATCCCCATCGGACAATGCAATATTGAATAATTATTTAGATATTCATGAATCAGAAATGACTAATTTGAAACGAGTTGTCTCTTTAAGAAAACCACCTGAACGTTCTAGATTATGGGCTCTTCCTGATAATATGAAAATTTTACGTTCATCAGATGGTTTTATGGCTGATTCATGCTATCCAAATGATGTTGATATTGATGAAAATGAGGAATTGATTAATCATCAATTCAGTCTACCGGAACCTGGAAAAACTACATTGAAAACGGAAATAAATGGTTGGTTTTCCAAAAACACATACTTAATATTTGCATATATTAATTACATAATAACAGCAGTAGTTACTTTCCATGTTTGCATACTCAAAAACAATATCTACATGTAAATTTAAATCCAGGCTAATGTGTGGCACCATCCTCCGATTAAGTTATACAAAACAATTTAAGTTTTGGTGACTAATACATGAGAAGGACATTGATTTGATGTATCATTATTAAAAATATCTTTTGTATACTATGAATATATATAACTTTTGCACATGTAAATACATTTCAGTTGAATGTAAAGCTACACTGGAAAGATTTAATCTTAATTGAAAATTGATATTAAAATAAACTAATCTTCATTTTTAATAATCAGTTCAGTTTTAATAACGGAGTATTAGTTTCGGTGATTGTTCTTTTAATCTATTTGTTTATTTTAAAATTTATTCAGATTGCGTTGTACGGAATCCTTGAACGATGTTTTTACATTCAAACAATTTAGTACTTAAAACAGAATCAACTTTTTTTTACAGTTGAATTGCTTGTTCCAGTTGCTGGTTGATGAACTAAATCTATTTTAATATGCTTGTATATTTCCAATGAATTTGAACATTAAGTTTTTAGTGGAGTTTTGTTCTGTAAGCTAGATGGTTTGGGGATAGAGCTTTCTGGACGACATTATCAGCAAAACTTCTACTTGATGATGTGGAGGCTCCACGACCAAACCATCCAGCTCACAGAAAAACACTCCACCAAGATCATTAACCTAAGCTGCAAATCTCCATCATCTCAATAATAAGTTTATTTGTTGTATTGATATTTATTTGAAGTTTTCTGGAATTTTTATATTTGTATGCATGAATCTATCTGCACTTCTTCATGTATTATGATTAACACACAGTAAAAAGCCTAAATGTCATTTTTATAGACATTTATGATATTAGGAATTAAACGTTTTATTTGAATCGGTAATGTTAATAATTAAAAATCCTTAAGTACTTGAATTATTCAATCTACAACATGAATTTCTGAGCTTATAAAAATTGGTTGATTACATAATTCACTAATTTTAAAATTATGATCAGAGAGGGATTTTGTGGATATTATAGTAATTTTAATAGTTGAATAAGCTAAACTACCATGAAGAATCTGGAAGCACTGGATAGCCGTTTAGTCCCAAGTATGGAATTGCTCAGTAGTGCGCAACCACAAAGTTAGACATTAACACTGTTGGATGCCAGCCTGCTTAGTGGTCTATAGGTTAAGCGCTCGCGCGCGAGATTGACAGATCCTGGGTTCGAATCTTTTATCTATCTTATCTAAAGTACATATCATAACAAGCGAAATATGGTGTGTGATTTGTTTGTTGGTTGGGTTTTTTCTCTTCATATTGGTTCTTTATATTTATGTTGTAATGAAGAATAAAATTAAATGTAAAACTTCATTAGCAATAGAATATGAATTATTAATATTTGAATTATAATTCTTAACCATTATTATCAATGAACTTCTGTTGAACAGATAAATGTAACCCATAATTAACAATACGCTTATGTTCATATATAAATTTAACGAATTAAAGCATTTTTTTATAATTTTCCCTTTTATATACACATATATGCATTACTTAGCGTTGAATTCATCTAACATTATTACTAATTTCTTTTTCACGATTAACTTAATCCTTTATAACCACCTTATTACTATTTCAATAAAACAATTTAATTGAACGTGTTTTGTGTTTTTCGTTTCTCTTCCTCTCTCTCGCACACACACACACGATGTTCATATGTTGACATGTTGTTGATCAAATTAATAATAATGATGATAATATTAAGGTTTAAGTCAAATTGATGATCATCAACCTCCACGAGCAAGCTCACGTACAAGTTTATCACGACAACCATTTGCTTCAACTCAGTAAGTTCATATTTATATAATGAATATTGTTTGAATATATATACATTTTGATTTGTTTTGAGATTAAAGGACTAGATTTTTACTTACTGTTTTATAAAACTCTAAATTAGAAATATTTTATATATTTCAATTATTCAAAAGAAAACATGATCCTTAGAATGAAGGTTAATCTCTTCTGTGTTACTGATATCTTTCTCTTTTTAATATCTGTAAATAATCATCAAATCTATCTTCTATATTTCAAATCAATCGTTCAGAATGTAGACAACTTAAAACATTATCTCTATAAGCATTTTAATTAATTCCGATGACCTATTCCATACTATAAACACTGAATAATTCCAACCGACCATATCTTATACTGATCAGTTAACTAACATAAATGTCAACTACATTTGTATATATATATATACAATAACAAGTTTTAAACTCAGTTCAATTGAGTTATTTTAACAGTTGAATTCATGAGTCAACTGAAGCTAGACCATCATTGAAAACCTGGAAGCACTGAACGGCCTTTTCGTCCTATTATGGGGCTCCTCAACAATCCTCATCTACGGCCCCGCATGCGGGACTCCAACGCCGGACCTTCGGTCTCGCGTGCGAACACAACCTCTAGACTACTAAGCAGGCTGGCATCCAACGATGTTAACGTCTAGCTTCAACCAATCCATGATCTTGCGCAACCCTTATAATTTTATTGATAGTATGCAGCCAAAACACACTTAATGGTATAACATCAAAATTTGAAAGACATCCATTTGTTCGATGTATTGTACAAAGTTTTAATATCTCACAATATTCAGTGTGACTTTTCTCATAAACTTATAGAGCAATCATATTATTTTTCTTAGATGTCCTACTTCGAGTATAGTATTAGTAAAAAAGTTAACTGGGACAGTAGGTCAGCGACGCACTTACTATATTGTTTATTTTTATGGTGTAGCAGATAGGTTAACTTTTTTAATATATTAACCGTAATTGTTACGCCAGATAGCATTTATACTCCAATTAATGTTATTTGACTTCTCGAATAATCCCGAGTTTAATACGAAATGTTGTTGAGATAGCTGTATTTCGGACTTTCCAACTCAACAGACTAAAGGCACAAAGTACAGAGCTTGACGGAATTATGAATGACTAACTGTGAGAAGTGTGGATTACATTGTGTAATATGTATTTTCCGTGTGATCATCAATAGATTTGTGAATTGTTGAGTGGCTTTATGTAGTACAAATAGTTAGTGCCATAAATAGACAAATGAATATGCAAACATCCATACATATGTAACAGTGTAGATGGATAAAAGTTCACAATTAATCATACAAATAAATACTAAGTACTTAATAGGATTAAAGTGACTTATTTGAATATCACTTGGTTGTTTTGATTTATACCTATTCGAAGCAGTGCAGCTTGGATAAGTATACTTCCTCCATAATCCAAATAACTATTATAAGTCTGTTTCATCGAATCAAATGACTTATCATAGAATCTATGTAAAAACCGAGTATCTTTAGACAGTTACTGTAGTTATCATCAATTAATAAGTAAACTCCTCAAAGACTTTATTGCTACTCGCTTTCTGATATTTAACAACACGGAAAATACTTTTAATGAGCTCTCAGATTATTTGTCAAAAATAACGCGATATAATTTTATAAGACTTTTAATGATCATTGTGATTGTACGGACTTCAAATTACATAGTAATCAATGTAACTGTCTTTACACATTCACTCACTTGTTATCCATTATCCAGACCTCAGATTGTATTAAATCTTCGTGCTTCACACATTGATGTTTTCACTTATAAATAAAATACATTTTCCATTTCTTTTCTTTTATTGTTCTTTATGATATCTACTTGTATGATTAATCACTACTACATTTATTTTGTATCAAAACTCATGCTCATTCGTTATCACTGATAGTGTTGAAGTTAAGCTGTCTTATATATGTGCGTACGTGTTTTAGAATAATCATTTTTCATAAACCGAGTAGGTTCTTTTAATGATAGCAGTTTGTTACTGGTTTACTTACAACCAAATTTCAATAACAGATAATAAAGTTACATAAGCAAGTTCAATACTTCTATTAGTATTTTATTTTTTAACGAATCATCATTCGAACCAATAATCAAATTGTGACGATGGACCACGAGTGAACTCGAGGAAGCTGTAGAAGGCTCAAAAGGAGCCGAAGATATTCCATCCAATCACCTTTTAGAAGAATATTCTCGGACTCCTACGTGTAGCTTCCCGATTGGACAATCCTAATAACCCCCCGTATGCGGGTTGGAGGACTGTAATGATGATTTCGTTCTTACTAAAAACTATAAATACCTGACAGTTTTGTACTATAATTGACACTGTCTGGGAATGCTATCCCTTTCATTAGTCTTCTGTCTTCTCATTGCGACTTGGAAGGGTTCTGGCGTTCTAGTGCTCATGTTATACGCGGTATATCAGGAACAACCTTCTAGATATAACACAAATCATATCAAAGCAGTTCTTATTGCTGATATTATGCAACTAATTTACTACTAAAATCACTCACACACTATATGAAGAGTTGATATTACAAATTTTCCGTATACTAATAGAATGAAAATTAACAAATGCTCCAGTTACCGGTAAGCGTCATCCATGAACAAGGCGGATTTGATGTAGATGTAAAGGCGAGGGTTGGCAAAGCAAGGACAGTATTTACGCAGTTGAAGAACATATGGAACTCAAAACAACTATCAACCAATAACAAAGTCGCAATCTTTAGTACGAACGTCAAGATAGTCAGTCCCACTGTACGTAACTGCGTTTTGGAGAACTACCACAACCATCATCGAAAAGTACAAGTATTCATAAACAATTGTCTACACAAGATTACTCCATGTCCGTCGACTGTATATCATCAGCAACAGCCTACCGTGGGAGAGATCAAACCAGGTTCCAGCTGAAGAGGAAGTTAGAAAGAGACGATGGAAGTGGATAGGACATACATTTCGCAAATCATCAAACTGTACCACGAGGCGAGCCCTAACTTGGAATCCTGAAACGAAGCAAAAAAGAGGAAGGCCGAAGAACACATTACGTCGGGAAATAGAAGGATGAATTAAAAGATAAATAGCAACTGGAAAGGATTGCCCAGGATCGAGTTGGATGGAGAGTGCTAGTGGGTGGCCTATGCTCCTCCACGAAGGGTAACAGGAGCAAGTAAGTAAGTGAACTCCAGTTACTAAGCAGCTGCAAACGACAGTGTTTTTTCCTTCACTGTTAATAGATCAACAAGAGTTCAACGAAATTAGGCACAGATATGGTCAGTTCTGATTTACACAAACATCAAGGATAATATTTTTTTCTTTCTAAATGCATTCTATCCTACATATTTTTTAGATATCTCAATAAACAAAATTATAATCATGATGGAGAACAGACAATTTTCATTAATCGTGTTCAACCAACATCAAGTAAGTCATGAGTGTAATTTGAAATTCCAAAGGTTTGAATTATTTGAAATTTCATGTCAATATCAATAAGGTCTTCACTCTGACAATCTATCAACTAGTATACACGGGATTTATTATTTTTCACATGATTAGTTTAAATAGAAGTTATAATAATCACTTAGTTCAATACAATTTATCCAGGAAAACAGGAGGGACTTGGGAAATTCGGGTTAAGGAATATTTGTGCCAGGCTCTACGTTAACTAAAATTAATTAATTATGTATAATACAAACATAATGCAACAATTTAAATCTGAGTTGCAAAACTTACAATCTATGAATACACACTAACAGTAAGAATAAGGAGCTTTAACTATACACCTCTAGTGCCCTTGTTTAGTTCTCCTCTTACAATGTTTCTATCGCATAGCGTATTTGTTAAATAGGAAATTTTTAAGGTTTTACATTTCATAATGTCTATAGATTGTTTTCTTAGTGCCAGAGAACAGACGTGAAAATCTTCGTGACCAGTGCCTATAGTTCGTATTCGACAATATAATACTGACTAGTTAAATGTATAAGTTTGAATGTGTGTTCACAACCATATATTTATAAATATAATAACAATGATCAATAGTAATCTTACTAAACGGATTCAAACACCTCAGCAACAAAGTATAAACTTTCTGTTAAAACATATAAACAGAATAAGAAGTAACAAAGTAAGTGAATGGATGGCTCACAGGAATTTATCATTTACAAACACAAATATTCAGTGATTTCAATTGTATAAGATACGAATGAAATTGGGATATTTTTATTCATTATTATTGTATAAAATATTAAAACTGAAGGCTTTTTCATCATCCTGTTCTTAGTAATATCAACTATTATCATTATTGAGTATGAGATACAAAAATAAAAATTTCAGCTTCATATTTAAAGACAAATAACATCTACCTGTATGTGTATATTCTATAAAATAGTTCAAATAAGTACACTTTATTTTATGAAGTAATCATTATTTGAATAGTTGAGATCATGAGTCAATTGAAGCTAGACCATCATAGAAAACCTGGAAGCATTGGACGGCTCTTTCGTCCTATTATGGGACTCCTCAGCATAGTGACTTAGAGAATGGTTAGACAGAATTATTTTTCTATAAAATAATAATTCCTTGCTAACAGCTTAAAGGGCATTATTTTGAACTATGGACTGTACGAATTAAAAATATGAAGCATGATTTGTGCAAATTGTAGTACTTCTATAATTTAAATAACAAAATAATCTTAGCTAAACCACCATTAAGAACCTTGGGACATTGGATGGCTTTTTCATTTCAGAATGGAATTCGTCAACAGTGCGCATTCACATACTAAGACGTAAAGGTCTTTCAGTGCTTCCGGGTTTTTAATGATGATCTGGCTAAAACAGGTTTGCGAGTTAAGCTATAGGAATAAAAGTGTAACGTTACTTTCATAGCAATCACTACTGGCTCAAGTTTCTTCAGAATTATCAAAACGTTAATATGAATTACAACTGAGTTATCAAGGAAAAAATTCGAGCAAAATAATAGTATTTCAGGGCATTAGAAGACTAAAATAAGTTTATCTCTACAAGTGTAATTAGAAATGAACCATTAAACTCCAGTACCATGGATAGTAGTATCTACAATTTTAAAAACACCAATTACTCCAGTTTGACCGCCGAAACCAATGCGTTATCGACTTCATAAACAAGTATCTGATTTCTTCCTCCCTAGTCTTAATTTCCTTCCAGTTCAATTCCATTCTAGTTAATATCGAGAGTTATTTGCTAGATTGTATATGATCTAGTTCACTTTGATTAAGTTCACAACTTTACTCTGTGATCCTATAACTTAGTACTTGACTATAACTTTTAATACCTATGTCTCAAAGTGAATGTCATTTTATTTAATATTAGTGCTTTCATCAAATAACTAAATAACTTTCTGTAAATCAACAATAATTACAAACTAACATGCAAAAAAGTAAACAAATTAATTAATAGAAAGTAGCCCATGGTTTGAGCTACTTGTTCAGAATTAAATGTATCAGATTCATACTGTTGAACCGGTTTCATGATTAAGTATGTTAAAGCATATTAAAATAAATATACCAGTTTTACACTGTAAATAACGTTTTGAAAAGCTATATCCCGTCGATAAAACAATCTTCAGTGATATTATTTAAATATTGTATTCACATAGAAACTTTATTCCCTCCAACGTAATTCCTTTTACTTTGAAAGTTGATGTCTACTAGTGTAAATAATCATCAACTAATGTACACCAGGAATTTCAGTTTCATTCAAGGTATTATCGTGTTCTGTTAATAATTTGCTAACTTTAACTGATGACTATTTCTTGACCTGTAAGTTGATTCTGAATTTCGTCAGGTTATTTTAGCTTATTTTTAAATAATTCACTAATGTAGTTAATATCAGAATTTTTCAGGGAAAGTTCCAGTTTAAGAGTAGTGTTTTCTATTTCCGTGTATCCAAAAATACTATTGCTTTAAAACACATCTCATAACTTTTTTTATTATTCGAAAACTGTCTCGTCAGGTACCCCAGTTCAAAGTTATCCACCCAGTAGACTTGGTACACAATCTGTCTATTCAGATCATATTACTGTCTCAACTACTCCACAAACAGTAACTGCTCCGACGAAAGTTGTCAGTAATTTGAATGTTTTGACAAACACTAGAAAAACGAGTGAACTTACCGAAGTCCCTATGCAAAATGGATGGAAATCTGAGAAACCTAAACAAGATACAGTAGATAGTGGTAATATGCCTCAAGTGATTGCAACTGCACGTGTTTGGTATCAACCTAAATTATCCAGAGAAGAAGGTAAGTAGTTGTAACTATGAACAACTATTGTATTTTATCAAGAATGACGAATCATCATTTATATTGCTAGAAATATAAACCACTGGATTTCAACTAAGTGATATAAGTGTTAAGAAATTGTCGCTAAATGATAGGCTCCTGAGTGAGACGCTTAATGTAAGTAAGTACTAGTATGAAACTTTATAATCAGACACATTAGTTGTACAATAATAGCATAGCTAATATTGTCCCGTTGTAAAAACCACCTAACCATGAGTTGTTATTCTTAGTAATTTGTTTTTGTATTCTTCCAAGAAAAAGCAATGAGACAAATTTCTTTATCCTAAAAACTCACTTTATGTTGGGGTGATCCAGAAAATTGCTTGGGAAAGACAAGCAAGCATCAGGAAACACTAAGAAGCGTTTCATCCAATCAGCGTTCACTTGAAGTTTTAGCCAAAAATATCAAGGAAGCGAAACGTCACATGCAGAGGCTCTGATTGATTGGCTGCTACACTGCTACTATGTTTAATAGTATTCCAGAATCTTCGAGCAACCCAAGGACATTTAAAATATTATGAAAACCCTGTGTTTTCTGTAATAAAATGAACCTTGGAGTAAACTACTTCTCGTATACTTTGAGTCTTCTCTCTCGTGTTCAGGTTGCTGTATAGTTCTAGCTTGGAGATTACAGGATAGCTTAGGAGACGAATATAGCGTTCAATCCGCAAGACTTATCACTTTAAGATTGAAAATAACTAAAATCCTGTATATAAACTCTTTCGTCGATAATCTTTTTTATGTACTAAATACTATGAATTAGCTTAATTAAATTACCATTTACTTAATATTAATAGGGTAATAAATCATTCATAGCTCATTTATTTACATAACAATACAGAAAATTCATTATTCAATCATAAACTATTAACCAATCAAACTAAATCACATTCAATATTTTGCACAACATGGTAGAGAATTTAAAGAAACGTCACAATTAATAATAATAATAATAATAATAATAATAATAATAGTAATAGTAATAATAAGACGTTTTGCATAAACTCCCTGTCAGTGTGATATATTTGATTCAATGCCAAAAGTTATAAACTATACATGTAAACTCTACATGTAAGTTGATGAAACAATGCAAACAAACAAAAAACAAATATACATTTTTTTTAAAAAAGCTAAAATAATTTTTGTGTAAAAATATACAAAATACCTGGAAAATATTGTTGCTAAGTAATTCTCTCTGATTTACTTAGCACTATTTTTTTACAAATATTTCCTGTATTGATTTTTTTGTCTTTATATGATGTATATTTGATGTGTACTATATTCAAGAAAACATATTAATAACGTTAATCCCAGTATTCTTCTTTCTTTGTTTTTTGTTCATTAAAATTTCAAACAAAACATGAATTTAGTAGAGTTGGTTAATGGCTAAAATTAAAATTTAGAACGTGCGTTTCGTCCTATCTTTGATTCGTCAGCTGGATGTGACTGTATTTCTGGTATTGATGTTCACAGAAAGACTCCAATCCAGAGCCTTTAGCTTCAAACTCCCAATGAAATAAATACACACTGAATCTAAATAGACATTATCTTATTCATTTTGTGTTTTTTGAACTAAAGGATAACTAAAAAAAATTAGGCAACTATAAATATTTCAAATGTGACTAGCAGTTACTTTCTTTAATAGACTGTGTAATTAGCTGTTATGAGTGAGTAGTCTGTCACATAAATGTCTGTCCTCTTCTTTCCCGACCCTCATCTCATTAAGTGATAGACTGTGACTATTTAAAGATGATAAGTGGTACAAGTCCCAAATACGTACAAGTTATCTCATCTATATGTTATTTCTGTCCAAGTCATACAGATTCTATCGATCCAACTTATATATATATATATATATATCGACTTTGACTATTGTATATCAATACGTTTTATGGATTGCTATTATTATAGAGACTAAGAAAAAAGATATATTTGAAAATTATTGTTACTTATTTCGCAGACTATCTTTGGCTTGACTAGTCACTTTAGTTTGTACAATATATATTAGAGAGTGTACGTTAGTTATCATTTCCGAAGGTCCATAATAATCTGGCTTTAATCTCTAGGAGGCTTTTCATGTAGGGTTCATCGGTTTCGTACTACGACTTCAAAAATGCTTGCCATGAGACCTGATACTCTTGGATTTGGTCCCAATGAACTGTTGGTTAACAAGATGGAACGCCTATGAAGTGCTTACTCGTCTTCAATGATTGTGTAAGTAAGGTCACTATACATGTAGTATAGTCAGTTTGACGGAAATCTTTTGATTAAACTATATTGATAAATTTTCTTCAATGTCTTTCCCCATAGTTCCTGTGGTTTGTTTGATCCAGTTTTCATAACGCTTTTAAAAATTTGCAAACTGTTGAAAAGATGCTTTTACAATTTAAGATCCTATCACCATCAGTTTTTGTTTGATACATTTCATTCACATACTTTTTTCTATCTTATATCATTCCATATGCGGCTTTTATTTGGATTTTCTATACTAAGTTTGGTAAGCGAAAAGCATTTCGTACATAATATTAATTTGTATGGAACATTGATTCTTCTAAACTAATTATATTACCATTTTATCATTTGTTACACTATAATCCTTTTAATCCTTTAATTTTTCCTTATTTGTCCAATCATAATTTCTATCAGCTATAAGTATTTTACGTCAACAAGTCCCTGGAAGTTTTCTTATTCGTGATAGTACAACATACAAAGATGCTTTTGGTTTAGCAGTCAAGGTTGCTACACTTCCACCAAAAGTTACACCAAAATCTAGTAAGTATAACTTTCTGTTTTTATGTGAGCATACATTACATGTAAACACATACTTTTTTAAAAAAACTATTTATCCATCCAATTGTGATGCTTGTTATAATTAATATTTAGAATGATTCGACATATTGATTGTTTGCACAGATATATGTAGCATGTTACTGCTCGTGTTATCATTAGTCATATGCCTATTAGTGTCACTGCTAATATTATCGAAAGTATTATTGGTAGTACCAAGAAATATTATCTTGTTACTGTTCTATATATATATACATATATATTTCATTATGAGTAGACATTAGAGCGAAAACCGTTGAAAACTAAACATCAATAGATAACCATTTTGTTCTAGTTTGAAACTGTTAACCAATTCACACACAAAGCCTAGCCAAAAATGAATCTTATAATAAACACAAATTTTTTTTTAATCTGATGAACTGACAATTAATTGTTCCATATTTTTATATCAATCAATTTATTGTAAAGAGCTATAGACATTCATTGTCATATCTGATATAAATGATGCCTGATTTCAGTTTATGGAATAATACTAACTTTACATTTGAGAGTTTGTTGTGTGTTTTTTTACAAGAATCCTGAATAAAGACAATATTCATTCATTAGACATTCTGAGATAGTTCATATTTATTATATTTAATGACATAAAACATCACCAGTAGGTTACAAATCATACGACAACAATCGGTACAACAATGAAGAAAATTTTAATTTGTTCTTTGAAATAATGTAGTTTTTCATTTCTTCATAGGAAAAAATCTGTTAACTATCGTGATTAATTTTTTTCCTTTGTAAACTTTCAAACAAATGTCATTACTAAAAGTTTAACTTGATAATTTCTCATAGATTAGACATTGGTTAAATTGTTAATTGTAATAATATATTTGTAAAGTCTTACTTAAATAAGCCTGTTACCACTCGTAGAATAGCATAGGCCATTCACCAGCATTCTTCATCCCACCCTGTCCTGGACAGTCATTTCCAGTTCTTTGCAGGTGCTATTCATTCTTTTGATGTCTGCTTTCAATTCCCGACTCAGTATGTTCCTTGGTTTTCACCTCTTCCATTTCCGTTCGAGATTCTATGTTAGTGCTTGCTTCGTGGTACAGTTTGATGATTTGCGAAATGTATGTCCTATCCACTTCCATCGTCTCTTCCTAACTTCCTCTTCAGCTGGTACCTGGTTTGTTCTCTCCCATAGTAGGTTGTTGCTGATGATATACAGCCGACGGACATGGAGTAATCTTGTGTAGACAATTGTTTATGAATACTTGTACTTTTCGATGATGATTGTGGTAGTTCTCAAAGTCGCAGTTCCGTACAATAGAACTAACTGTCTTGACGTTCGTACTAAAGATTGTGACTTTGTTATTGGTTAATAGATGTTTTGAGTTCCATATGTTCTTCAACTGTGGAAATACTGTCCTTGCTTTGCCAACCCTCGCCTTTACGTCATCTGCATCAGATCTTCATTGTTCATAGATAGTGATGAACAGGTAAGTAAAAGTTTTCACCTCTCCCAGAGTTTCTCCATCTAGTGTGATTGGTTTGGTTGGTGTTCTCTGTGTTGTATTTGAGGATGTTGGTTTTTCTATTGTGTATGTTGAGGTCTACTGATGCAGAGGCACTGTAATCCGTCGTATGAATTCCAAATGATGTTGACAATTTTCTCAGTTACTGACATCACAATGTCGAAGACGGTTCTCCTGTCCACACTGTCAAACGTCTCATAATCAAGGACGTTGATGTGTGGTGACAAGTCCCATTAAATTGATTATTCAACGACGATCCGTAGTGTCGCAAATTGGTCTGTGAACAATCGATCCCTACGGAATCCAACCTATTGATATCGAAGTTAGGCGTCTACTGAGTCTTTCATCCGACTCAACAACACTGTTGAAAACCTTCGGTGGTACTGACAGTAGTGTGATTCCTGTGTAGTTTCGACATTTGCTCAGATCTCCTTTCTTTAGTATCTTGATGCGGTATCCTTCTTTCTAATCTGTCGGTGGCACATTTTCTTCCTCCTAAATCTTTCTGAATAGAATGTGAGGCATGTTTGCAATTACTCCTATATCTGACTTCAGTGCTTCAGCTGGTACGTTATGAGGTCTTACTGCTCCCTCACTCTTGATTTACCTGGTGGCCATCCTGATTTGTTTGACTGTTGATGGCGTGACATGTATAAGGAGGTCTATGTATTCTACTTCGATATCCGGTGGATTCAGTGGAGCTCGTTCTTCAAATTGCTAAATCTTAATCAACAGGAAATTAAATTTCTTATGCTTTGTGACTTAGTATAAGCCACTTCCTCATAGAATAAAGTAAATAAAACAACTAAGTTTACACATGTTTAAATAGTACAAAAGAAAAAAGCCGAATATTTTTAGTTCAACCAAAATCGAAATAAGTCGGACCATATCAATGACATGTTAATTTGATCAAGGTATTTTCGTATTTTTGATTACATTTAAAAATTTCAACGTTGAGATGGAAAAGGTACAGATGAAACGTTGAAACCTACCTAGGCTTGGTTTTACCTTATTTCCTTATCTATGGCTTAATTGTGTAGTTACAAATAAATCCAAGCTTCTAAATTAACAGGGAAAAGCTGTTGAATTTAAAAGTTATTCATTAACTAGAATAGTTGAATGGCAGAAGATAAAGCTATTGACTATGGATCAGTAATTCCGTCCATTCTGTAGAAATTAAGGAAGTTTTATACCAATTGAGTATTTATTTATTTACTTTACCTTATGAAGATATAACAAATAAATTACATTTTAATAGATCTGCAGAAATCTTGATGAAAATATTGCTTTAACTGACTATGTGAAAAGCCTAATTTTATCTTTATGGACGAGAAATATGTTGAAAGCTCCATGATAAAACTATCGATCCTCGAAAGCAAAACACTATCGAAAGCCTGATCCTAAGCTATAAATATTTTCTATCATCTCACGCCATTTTGAGGGTAGTATTGTCATACGCTGAAAGTGAAACTGTAAACATTATTTCCCATTAAACTTCAAGAAAATGATAGAAACAATAATTATTAATATTAATATTAAATGAAATAAGGCAATTCAATCTGAGTTAAGCAGCTTAGTTTCATTTAAAAGCACTGAAATTAACATTCCCAACCGATTAAGGAAATAAATTATCAGCGGTTCATCAAAATTTACAGTATTAAGAATTATATGTTAATGACAACGTATATAGCGGCCACATTTTGAAAAGTGTACTTCCTGTAAACAGAAAAAGTTACCTGAGATACCTGTTTTTACCAATGAAGGAAAATTAACTATTGTATTTGCTGCCATTTCATATTTTGTATATGAAAAAGCGACTACTGTTTAGCTCAAACAAATTGTTCTTATGATTCAAATTCGGATTACTTCTTGGATTTCTGTCGTACGAATGCTTTTAGATAACGTCAATGTTGAATTCAGAAATATTGTTACTTATGTCGACTATTCCTATACAATCACATGATAAATATATTTCATTTCTAGTCTTTACATTTATTATATTCTTCCATGCTAAGCACTTAATATTATTACCAGTGTTAGATATGTTGAGAAACTAACTTAGAAACGATACCTATTTTCTTATCAAAGGGCGCGTATAGCGCTCAGCACTTCGCCCTTATCACTGTAAAACATGGTCTTTGAAGGTAGAGGACAAAGGTGGGTTACTAGATTTAGACCAGAAATGCCTTCGTAGTGTGATTCACATATGACGGACCCATCGAGTGAATGATGATAAGATTAGGCTTCAAGTTGGATTAAAATGTTATTTATCTTCATCTGAGGTGGTTGAGACGCGTCTTGTGTATATCCTGTCAGCACATCTTCTGACTCACAATATTGAACCTGACAAGAGCAGATTATTGAAAAAGTTATGAACAGATATGCCAAGACAATGTCAGTTGATGAATTGTCAAGAGCTGCAAGCTCCTATGATAGCGTCATTCCGATAATCATAATATATAGTTGGACATGTCAGATGACTGCTCAAAATGTATTGAAGTGGGCTAGATGTATTTATCCATAATCTTTTAAATCTTGTACCTCGTATAATTCTACATCCTTCATTCATGGATTAGCTCTTCAATGAGCAATTTTCCTTACGTCTTCTTCATCATTTTTATTGGACTAATGCACAACTGTGCTGAGCCATACCAATTTTCAATACAAGAAACATACATCTTACTCTGATTCACATGACTGATTTGAATAGAATTATTTTTCTATCGCCCATTAGTATGCCTTTTTCTTTTAAACTAGCTCTTTCAAGGTTGACAACTTATTATTACTCAATAGTCAATTCCAATTAATTTACCAGTAAGCCACAATTTACCTTTGTATCGCGTTGTAAATCCTCTAACTTACTGAGGTGCTGTAAGGCATCGTTTTCCACAATAAACAATGTCATTATAGCCTGTTTTTATCATTATTTCACATTTTATGTTAATAGTTGCCTTTTATAAGTTTATATTCTTATAACTTATTAACTATTCGATTTGTACACATTGTATTGTGTGAGCATTATAAGCCCAGTCTCAGTGATAAATTAATCTACTTATTGGGGTGGTTTACGATCATGATAATTAATACAACTTGAGAAAGAATAAGGAATTTATCTGCAGTGTTTTTACTAGGATTTACAAAATAGACCTATAAGACAAAATACAATCGTAGTCCCGAAGGTGAAGAGCACCTGACATTACTCTACCAACTTTTCAACAAGAAAATTAATCATCCTTATTTCAAGCTAGGATACCTATCTGCTGTTTGCATTACCATGTGTTATAAGTTGAAAATGAAGATAAAGTCCTTACAAAAAACCAGATTGATTTGTCATTACTAGTCTAACTGGTTATTGATTCTTAATGTCCTGCATTCGTATTTCTTATGGATAAACAAGTGTTTCTTGCTTAAGATTAATTTGTTGTCACTTTCTTAAACACAAATGCTTATCCTCTAGACCATTGGGGTGGCATCTAACAGTGTTAGCATCTACCTTCAACCAATCCACGATATTGAGTGACCGTTCGCCATTGTCTTTAGTGAGTAACTGCCTCAAAACAGACTTGGTTGAACTCCACTGGTCACGGCTTCTCACTAGAACTCTAGGAAATCTATCTTGAAGCTAGTCGCTAACATCAATCCATTCATGATATCAATCTGAACTTATCATTATTCCTTAATATATTATCAGTGTTATCTTTACTTTTGCTAAACTTTCTCACCTTTCAATCTATCAAATGTTTTGACTTCTTTTTATTGTACAATGTATTCATTCAAAGTGAAGTACTGTTAGTAGTAGTAGTATGTGATTCTTTTCTTCTTTTATTCATAATTTCTTCATTTCTTTTTGTAGGTTTTACCAAATTTGTCAGAAGCATTTTCAGTAAGAAAAATAAAACAAATTAAGATGATCAAGTTTTTTTCCCTTAGTATTTTCTTTTTTTTAACCTCCTCCAATTATTATCATTGTTATTATTACTATTACTAGTATTATTCAAAATCTTTCCCATGACCAACTTCGCACGTTTTATGGAAGATCTTTAACACTACGCTTGTCATTGTTCTCGTTATTGTTGGTATGATTGCTGATAATAATGATGATGATTGTGATGATGGCAATGTTGTTTCTTTATATTTGTTGTTGTCTGAATTCATAAAATCACTACTGCTTTTGGGCACTTTCACTTCGACAATATGTATCTGTCAGTTATTGTATACAATAATCAACAGTTAGGTGAATTTTTTTCCGTCTGAAACAGTAGATAATATGTCTATATAATTACATCTGCACGAAATATAATAAAATTAATTCACATTATTACACTATGTATTAGCTACTGTCTTTATTTATTTCCAAATGTCTATATACTGCATCTTTATTCTTTGTGCAATTGACTTGTAGTTCACATGAGAACATACTATTTTATTCCATTGACTTTAATGAAACATCTGCTGGCTATATGGTTTTTCAATGACTACTACTCAATATATTTTATACATTTACGTGAAATCTTAATAATAATTAGTGATTTCACGTGAAAAGTAGAATATTTAAAAATGTCTTGAAGTATTCTCTGAAGCTGTTCCATCTTCTTTTAATCAGTTTTGATGGATTATATGACACATTTTAAGGGGAACAACTGTTTGATTTATGTTTAAGCAACCTTTGTTTTCTAGCGATTCATTACACTGTACACAGTGTTGTTATCAATATCTTGTTCTGATTGAAATTTACCCTCTATATGTGTATGTTTATCAGTTTAATATACTTAAACACTAAAATCACTGAAATTAAACAGAATAGTGATGATTAATTTCAAGTAATAAATCCATATTTTCCATTGCATGATATTTATTGTTTATTATAATTACAAACATTTTGCCTGTTCATAAAGATCCCCATTTGTGAAACATCACTATAATGCATTAGAAATATCATTCGAATTATTTTTGCTTAACAACAGTTTTGACTATCACTGTGTTAAAAGTTCCCGCTGAAGTATTTATTGATCTATGAAGATTTCAAACAAGTACTCATATTTATTTTATTATGCTTTATATCAATGCAGCTATATATCAGCTACTATTGTCACATTGTAATTATTCACACACACACACACACTTCATTATGCATAAATTATTTTGCATGTAGTAACTTTTTTTATTATAAACCCCTTAAAACATACTTTACACTTTTGATGGAGTTTTGTTCTCTGAGCTCAGAGAACAAAACTCCATCAAAATCATCCACCTGAGCTACAAATCTTCTCCACCATCTCAATACTTTACACTACACTATTCTTGCCAAAAAACTTTTTTTTTCTAATGGTTAGTTTGTTATATTCACAGTAATTTATACCTTGAATATAGTGGAATACTATTCATAGCATGCTTTAATTTCACCCAAAGTTGATTATGCAATTCTAAAAGGCATGCCAAACTTATTTGTTATTTTAATCTAAATAATAAATGTTGTTTTCGATTTTTATTGAGGAAGTAAACAGTAACCTAACATACATAGATATAAATATGGAAGCATATATGTAAACTGATATTTACTGCCAAAATACATTATAAATACCTTTGATATTCGTACTAGTCTAATTCCTGTAGGAATTGAATTAACAAATGAGAGAGGTAATGACGTGATCAATCATTACGACAATGTAAAAGCAGATTTGTGAACGGAATGGCGTAAAAATTACTTCATATTACAGTGTTTGTAGTTATTGTTTTGCCAAACTTGGCCATTAGAACTATTGTTTTATGAAATAGTTTTTTAAAAAATTCAGTAAAATGAAATGTCCTGTTTGTCAACGTAACATTTCATGGTATTAATTGTAATAGTTAGTAATTTCCTATTGGTAATACTCTAGATTGCATCTGGTCGGTCTCTACTATCATGTAAGCTCTTTGAATAGATGCCTTGACATTGTATTTAGCTGCAAACTGACTAACAGTTGAATCACGAACATTTATCTAGTTTTATTCCTGACATCAATATTGTGCTAAACGTACATTTAACCAACGAATGTCAGATGGGGCGAAAATTGGAATCTAAATTTAGCTGTTAGTTACTCTAAATTAATAATACCATTCTATGATAAGCAAAATCAAATTTGATCGTTTTACTTACTGTATGCTGTATCTATTTAAATTTATATTCTTTTACTAAACACATATAAATCTGGGACTGGATGTTAACGTATTTCGCTACTATATCTGAACAAATCGAAATCATAGATTTAAAGCATTATTCTAATTATATTCAACCGTTTGAAGTATTATTTTTGTTTTTAGGTATGTAAGTCTTAGTAGTCTTTTTTTTTACTAAACCAGCAGAAGATGCATTCTATTTCGGGAATTCAAATGGTTTACATTTACATTGTTTACATTTAAAGACATCCGAATTTTTCAATGTGACATTTTCTTAATTTGCTTTCAAATGAGTGGAAACTAAGCCACATTGATTACTTTTTTGATGATATATAGAAAACCTCTTGGTAACTTACTGTTAAACAATTCCAGGTTCTTCTTTCATGTTTAACAATTAGTTAAGGTCGTAAATGATTCCTTACTATTCATTTGTACCATATTGTCCTTTCAGTAGGCAGAAAAAGGGTTATTCTGAGCCTGGTGTGTATGAATTTCGATAACAATATCTTCTTCGTATACTGTACAGTCAGTTGCATTTAATTTGTAAATTTAATGGCATAGTAGAATTTCAAACTTACAAATAAAAGTGAAGTACTCAACTTGCGCACATGCAGAAAAATCCCACAATTCCAACTGATTACTTGACGAAATATGATGTATGTTGTACACGTAATGTAGATAAACACTTTTTTCATACATCAAACTCCGCAGCTGAGTGTACTAGTATCTTAGTATTTGCATGGTCCAGGACTCTACACTTCGAACTCTGTAAGGTTTTCATTGTCTTTGTAGTACACTTCTAATATGCGCGTGTGTCATTAACAGGTGTAATTCTGTAAGAATGCTTGAATTGCTTATTTGAATCCATCAACAATAGATGGACTGATGTACATATTCCAATACTGCTTACAATATAAAACATTCAATAGTATCACACCGTATTATTTTATTGGATGATTCTTTTGGATACAAGTCAACTAAATGACTGTTTAGTAAATTCGAAATGTAGTTTGAAAAGATGACTTATTTCTTGTTATTTGTACAAGATTTTCTTAACATTTTACATTCTACTCTGAACGCATTTTGGTTAGACAATTGAATGTAGTTACGGTTAGTTATCTAAACTAAATACTGGAGAACATATTCCAATAATGTTGTTATTTATTAGATTCAAGAAATTTCTGCATATTATATCTCATACAATATCGCAATTCTTTGGTTTTAATTTTTATTCTACTCTCTTTTTACTTAAATTATTTATTTTATAGATGATCTTCAATCTGAACTAGTTAGACATTATTTGATAGAAGCGGTTAATACACCTACTAAAGGTGTACGCCTTAAAGGTTTTGCAAGTGAACCAGTATTTCCAAGTTTAGCTGCCCTAATCAACCGGCACACACAAGATGCTTTAGCATTACCTTGTCGATTAATTCTCCCAGCCATTCCAACTACACCGTTACCACATGGATATAAGCCTCCACCACAAATTGTAACTGGCTTACCACCGAATACTACGGATACAACAATAAGTAATCATATTTCACAATCGAATAATCAATATATTTCGAAAGTTGACAGTGCTACTGGGCCAGTTTCAGAATTAGGCTCTGTTATAATGGATAATGTGGAAATTGATTGTACAAAATCAGTTACCAATACTTCTACAATGGGTATAGAAGGTCTGCCATTCGAATGTGTAATTAAAGATGAACATCATAAACCAGTGATGTCGCAAAGTCTGCTTAATCAAGGCATGAGTAAGTTTTAACTTTCAATGTGATAATATTTTATTGAATGCTCTATTTTAAATTTGACTCAGTGCATTTGATTTCTAAAGAATTGGATATATTTATCAAGAATTATGATTATAGATTCAAGGAAACTGTTTCATAAAAAATGCTTCATATACAGACCTTAGAATCGCTAGCTCAGTAGTTATAGGCATTCAAATAACGTTACTTAACTAACGAGTGATTTTCAGAGAGTATGAATGCGGCTTACATATCGTTTAAAGAATCTACACAGCTTTGTTAATGCATAATTTGAACATCCTTATCTAATTTAGTCAAGATTTATAGCTGATATGACTAGTGTATGTTATACTTGTTTAGCTAAAACTCGCCGAGGAATATTCATGTTTGCTTTTCAATTTCAAAACCCACGCAAGGTAGTTGAACACTAAAAATAGTAGAACAAGGTGTGGTTGTATTTTTCTTTGAAATTAGTTTTTTAATGTTGAAAGTTGATTCTAGTAAGGTGGTGGTTGGAGGTAGTCAACAGGAAACCCTGGACCCAGGTTTCGTGCTATTTGGCACTCCTCAGAAAGGTGTACCTGTAATCTTGAGGGATATGATGATCCCTGACAGATTCAATCCCATTTCACCCAGTTTCACAGTCAGAGACGTTAACATCTTATCTCAACATAGTGCCCGTAATGTCGAGTCACCTAGACTAGTAGCCACATTACAACCTGGTCATTAGGATTCAGTCAGCACTAAGAAGGACCTGACACGCATGACATTGATCACCACCCATCGATCAATCTATTGTGAGCTGATTCTAGTGGTAGACTGAAGATGATTATCATAAAGTATTTTGGATTGACTTGGACAGTCTACAGTATTCAAAGGAACCATAGGCTATGTCACCGAATGATTGTGATTAGAACAATTTAATAATAATCATATCCTTATTAGTGACTCCTGAAATAGAACGAAACAGTTTTTTAATACATCTTATTTTCAATGGTTTTCCAAAATTAATCCATGAAACAAACTATAAAATTCAAAATTGCGTTGTTGTTAAACATTCCGAAGTTTAATATTGTTATCAGTAAAAATTACAGAATCCAGTACTACATAACGCTCAAACTATTTGCATTTTAATGCCGTTTAGAACCTGATAATATGTGAATTTAACGACATATATATTACATTTGTTCATTGATCAATATCTTTTCAACATGTTTGACTATAATAAACCATGAGTTATGAATTGAGACCATTAGATGAAAAAACCTATGAAAGCTAGATAAAATTCCAAAGATTTGTTTCAATGTAGTATGAGACCGTTCAGTAATGTCTATCCATGAACTTGGAAGGATAGAAATGTGAAGATTTCAAATTTTGCTCCCAGTATGATACATATACATTTCTGAGTAGGAAGTTACTACAAGGTTTACACTGACTTATTTTTCAAGGAAAATTATTGATCATTAGGGAAATTCATTTTAAACAATTTTAAAGTTGTCTTTGTACAAAACTTGAAGGATATTTCTGTATCTTCTTTCGGATACGAAAAATACTCTAAGTTTTAATAAAGAAATGAGTCAGAAATTCTCCAATCGTCACACTACATCTTTTATTTCAATTCTGAAAATCTGTTTTCGAATCTAAATGGGTACGGCTTAACAGCTTGTTGATAGTAGTGAAATTAAAGGTCATATTCTATTATAACTTGTGACCGCCGATTAGAGATAAGTGACTTATCGACCAGACCATGGACGCGTGAACTCGTATCACCAGCCTAGAGTTCTGATTGGCCTCGCTTTCCTCCTAGCCCAGTCAGTTAAGTCCAGAATATCAATCCGAGCCTCTGCGATATGAATCCTTATATTTCAAACATACTGAGTTTATATACCTATCAAACAGACCACAACGTACCAATAAAATATGAAACAACATTTGTACAAGAATTAGCCAGATTTGGCTGTGAATGAGGGAGGTAGTAATTAATATACTGGGTATAACTCAAGAATAGTAAACCTAGACTAAAAATAATATTACACTTTTCAGGATGTACAGTTCCTTGATGTACTACGGTAGTTTGATTATAATCCTAATAAAAGTTATCAGTCTACTGTGTGATGAGATTATGCAAAGCTTTTATTTGTGTAAAACTGCACACTATTTGAATGGTATTTGTAATGAATGAATAGCTTTATCCGTTTATAGTTCTTAGTAAGGTAACATTGTAATCCATGTTTATTTTTATTTTTAACCATCTGGTCGTTTATTTTAACACTTTATTTATTATGCCTTATCTCATTAGCTTCCATATCCCAGTGCTTAATTTCCTCACTCCTGATCCGTTTATTGTATCACCTTGGTATCTTCTATGATTTCTTTTAAATTATCTAATTGTGAAAAGATCAAGGTTATTTAACCAATTTATCCGTATCTTTTATTCTTTTACGTATTTCAGCATATAGATGTTTCATGTTAGGATCGGTAGATACTCCACAGTGGAATAATGAACTATGTTTCTCAAGAGCAGTTGACCAATTAATTCCATTGGAAACTTTAACAGCATCTGAGTGTGATCATGGTATTAGTCGTGTTCGATATTCAGATATTCAATTACATGTTAGCGCACACGATGGAATTACAATTATAGATTTACTAAGACGGTTATTCCTTCGACGTCATCTTCCCAATAATATATTATTGTATTGTGGTATAGAAACTCGAAAAAAAGAGTAAGCATATTTTCTTAACAAAACATTCTGATTCAAATATATGAACAATGGATTAATAATGATATAGGAATGCTCCAACACTTATGAATATATAGAAGGTTGAATTGTGATTAAAACGAAAGAGTAATATCATTTTATCATTTTTGTGTACTTGGCTTTAAGTTACAATGTTTGTGAGAGAGTTGCTAATACTACTGGAGTGCTGAAAATCAATTAAGTGATCCAAAAGTTTAACCTGAAACTCAATGATGAAAACACTAAGATCCACGTTTAAACTACACATTACTTATTTCAATTTGATTATCAACTTCATTTTACTATCTAACTCTCACACATACAAAAACAAATGTGACTTAAAGCCGAGTTCAAGAATCTGTTCTAAGTTGTTAAACTTTGTTATTAAACTCTAATAATCACAATATATTATTGATGGTAACTAACATCCAACGATGTTAATGTCTAACTTCAACTAATCCACGAAGTTGAACGACACATCCACCATCGTCTTCAGTGGGTTACTATCTCACAACAGACCCGGCTAGACTCAGTGGCCTAGAGGTTAGGCGCTCACGCGCGAGACCAATAGGTCCGGGGTTCGAATATCGCGAGGCGGTATCGTGGATGCACACTGCTGAGGAGTACCAAATAATAGAACGAAACGGCCATCTAGTACTTCCAGGTTTCTCATGGTGGTCTAGCTTCAATTGACTCATGATCTCAATTATTAAAAGTACCATAATATCTACAAAAACCCCTACTGAACATTATGTTTCTGAAAATATAAAAATTTCTGTCCAGAAATAAGATGACCATGGTATGATTCCATTACACTATTAAGATTGAAAAAGGATTATACGGAGGGATTTTAATTAAAGAAAAACTTTAACAAGCTTGAAATATTTCAAATAATTATAAAAAATTGAAATACAGAAATTAGATAATGTACCTGTCAAACTAAGCAAAAAAATACCAGTCAAATTCATTTTGTATTGACAGATAATTCCCATTTAAACATTGAAATGAAAACACGAAGTTCAGCGAAGGGATCCCTTTTCGACGAATTTATTATCAAGCTGTACAATCGTATATATATGAGAATTTTTCGTTCGTTGTAAAAGTACTAACCCCGTGAGGAAATGTGAACACAGTTAATAAAAAACGGTTATAATACTAGATTACGTAATACGAATAATAACAATAGACTTAGTGAATATAATAAGATGAGTAAAATGTTTTTGTTATAATAATTAAAGGTCATAGAGGTGTAGAAAATAAATACGCTGATATGATGAGTATTTACGAATAAAACAATGAGAATATAAGACATGAGTAAGGGGGGGGGAATGCAGTAATAATAATAACAATAATAATAATAATAGGATAATCAAAATAATTAAGGCCAAGGTAACAATAACGACAAGACGTACTTCTTTTGTACGCATTGTTCTGGTTTAAGCTCCTGGATGGTAAGAGATTGGGCTGTTTTTAAGAGTTGGATACGAAGAAATCTGGGTGGATTTGAACGAATCATATAAACAACCTTAAAATCAAATTGTGGATCTGTAGAATGGTTACAATCGATTAGGTGTTCAAGTATAGAACTCCTAACTGCTTTCCTTTCACCTTTGTAGAACCAAGCTGGGATATGTTCCCGTATCCGAGTTGAAAGCGAGCGCTGGCTACGGCCAATGTACCTTGCTCCACAAGAGCAGGTGAACTGGTAGATGCACATGGAGGTGACCAGACGCGGAAGCTTATCTTTTATGGACACAGAAAATAAGTTTCTACTAGTGAAGGTTATTCGCAGTTTAGCCGTGTTGAGTGTTCTTCTAATAGTTGTTGTTAGACGATTTTTGATTACGTCTGATGTTCAATCATGTAAAATTTATATATATTTGTATCATTGATTTTGCGCAAAATAAAGTTGTTTTTTTTAAAAAACCAACTTTAGATTTATTCATCCCGAACATCAAAATCATGGTATACGAAATCCTAAGTAAGTTAATTGTTTTTATTTACTTATTGTTCTTCTAGAAAAAGAAAGAAATATACCACTCTTATTTCTGTATATTCGTATACGTGTATTTGTGTAAAATAATCTAAACATAAGAACCGATTCAGTGAATACTTGTTCATAAAATAATAGATACTTCAATGTTAGAAGATCAAATACAAAATAGATCCGATATAGCAGAGAATCAAGTTATTTTAAATACACACGCACGCACACACACACACACACAAAATGCAACTATTTAATAGTTGTCAATTAGTTACTAGTTTTACAATGGATATTAATCTATGAAAGAAGAAACACCGATTAAATCCTTGAAATTATTGATTAAATTTCATGTAATTATATATTCAATTGATCTTGTGATAAGTAAATAGGGTTACCAGGTATTAATTTTTGATATTTATAACCCTGATTTCAATTAGTTTAATTCGTATGATCCATATTTTATGTTTTATGAGATATTGACCACAATTCACTTAAGGAACTTTCATTCATTTACATAACAATAATTATTATTATTATTATTGATCGATCTACAATAATAATTCATTTATATTTATTTGCTTCTCTCAGCAACAAAGCATTAACATAAATCTAATCAATAAATGTTTATAAAGATAAATCATGTAAAATAAGTCATTCGGTTGATACATTGACCTAGTTAATCAGAATGATGTAATTTATATATATATATATATATATATATATATATATATATATATAATGAGGTTAATAACAAACTATTCACATTTATTATATGTGGAAATTATATTTGAAATAATCTCAGCGATTGAAATCTACATAATAATTCCAACGTTTCGTCCAACTAACTTGTCTGGACTTCTTCAGGGTAATAACCAAAATCAAAATCATCAAAGAAATATATAACTTTTTAACAATCATAACTATACTGTGTTAAACAAATGAAATTTGGATGTTGCTTTTTGTAAAATGGGATAAAATGAGTCAGTTAACTACAAGTCATGTGAAAATAATTCAACTACATGGAAATAATTTAACACAGTATAGTTTTGATTGTTAAAAAGTTATATATTTCTTTGATGATTTTGATTTTGGTTATTACCCTGAAGAAGTCCAAACAAGCTAGTTGGACGAAACGTCAGAATTATTATATAGATCTCAATCGCTGAGATTATTTCAAATATAATTTTCACATGTAATGTCTTGTGTATACTCGGCACCTAATTTCTGTCAAACTATTTGTTCTAATCTTGACGAATATTCGTATAAATATATTCACATTTATGTTTTAATGACCATTTTTTTAACTTATAGAATCTTTGGATTAGTTGTTCGTAAAGGAATTAGTGAATGTACATGTCATATATTTTCTGAATGTGATCCAGTTCATTCAGCTGAATCTATTGTGAATTATATACGAACTATCTATCCTCATTTAAAGAGTTAATTTTAAAATTAAAAATGAAAATCATTCATTAAATGAACTATAAATTAAAATATTAATATTATTCTATATTAATAAAGATATTTCCATATGAAATGATAATTATTATCTATATTATTATGGATAGAACTATGATGTATTTCTAAACTTGGATGCTTTTGTTCATTTTTGTTTTCCTGTTAAGATAAATTTTTTGTGTGTTTTGTTTTAATGAAATTATGAAGAAACTATCTTCATGATTTTTTTTTCTAGTTTATTTATTTTAAGGTACCCTTTCATCAAATAACTTATTGAATGCATGCACCATCCATTTGTTTTCTTTCTTCTTCTTTTATGTTTTGTTTTACTTCTCATTTATTTCTTTGAAAATTTATCTCTGTTAAACCTGATTGAAAAATCCATACTTATCCATGATTGAACATATAACAGAATTATCCTTTCTTCATAATTTATATATATATATATATATATATATATATATATATATATATATATATATAAGCGTATATTGATCATATTATCTTTAACATTATGTAAGATAAATTCATTTGTGATGCGCCAATCATTTTTCGTAGTATTCTATATCAGACCCGTTTATCATTCAATGACACCATTGAACGTTTCTTTTTGTTTTATTTAATAGACAGCTATATTACTTTTTGAATTTTTTCTTTCGTATTTCTTATAAATTTCTTGATTGTTTAAGACTACAGAAAATTTTTATGAATTTCTTTGTCTTAAACCATTAAATTATTTTAATAATTTTCAACCTTTCTTCGGTTTCTCTGGTTTCTTTTGATTTTTAACTAGATTTCAAACAATCCCCCAACTGCTTTTTTTCGGTTTCATTGATTATCGTCACTGTTAATTTTTTTTTCTTTTCTTCTTTGAACAGTTTCATTTCTTATTTATATTGAAATTTTCGATGGTTCTCCTGTCGTGCAATGATTATTTACGGCTATTCGTATTCATGTTTTCTTAAAGTGATTTTTCCTTCTTGAAATAAATGAATATTATTTCAATAAATCATGTATTCAAGACAATTTTTAATAAGAATCTGATAGTATTGCAGTCAAAATAGATATGTCTACATGTATACTCATATGTATACATTTTATGTTGGAAAATAAACAAAAATATCTTTATTTAATTGAATTCATGTACGTATTTATAATTTGTATAAATATGTACGATTACATAAAATTGTTATGTAATATTTTCTGGGCTTTGAAAGTTTATCTTATTCACTCTTGTTACTTATGAGTAGTATAAATTTTAATATTTAAAAAAAATAAATGCTTCAGTTAGCATTAGGGATTAGTCTTGAAATTCCCATTAAATCAATCATATATGTTTGTTTATGCAGCTCTAAATCCTTTCATTCAGATGAGACACAGCTAGGTGAAAGGTTTTACAAATGAATTCCAGTTTATTCACCACACATTTATCTTTATATAACTTATAGTCGAATTTTTTTAACAAAGATGGATAGTGGCTAGCAGTGGAATCCAGGACGCGCGTTTCCCCTCCTATTTGGGACTCATCAGCTGGATGTACGTGCATCTCAGGATGCACATTTGCCAACATGAGACTGATAGATTGCAGTGTTAAATAACAATGAGAAGATACAAATGAATTTACAGTTGAAATGTTTCAAGATTTTTCTTCATATTGATTTTGTGAACATCCCAAATTGTCTAATCAGTTGGAGAAAAGAATTAATGTTGAACACCAGATAAAAATTGGTTAGTCTTAACAACTGTAACCTCAAATACTAACTTCATAGCAATGAAATTTTGAATTAGATTACATATGAAATTCTCGGGTAATATTGGATAAATATGCCCTATTTTCCGCTGTCAAAATACCATGGATGCTAAATTATAGAGTGAGACGAAGAAAGAAAAATGTACAAGTTAGATATTTGGTATTCAGTGAATTGTGTCTTCTCAGATTTAAGGTGCACTTATCATCTAGTTCGGTTGGTGATATTTTTCTTCTATCTTTTATAAATCAAAGTAACAGTTAACTATGAATGTGTTACCCACACACCGTGATATAAAACTTAAGCTACATCATTGTGACTACATATTGTTACAACGGTTGGGTTTTCTTCATCCATATGAATGGGGCGTTAATTTGCCTTAGACGAATATCTACACTAGATTCCCTCCCAGTGTCTATTCTGCAGGACTTAAACACAACTCAGATCAAGAACACGTGATTAACCTGACTAGAACGTGGATATATTCCCACACCAAAAACCGGCAACAATCCGAAACAATCTAACACTATAAATGGTATGAATAAGGATAGGAAGATATATAACTCATCTAACGTCTGACTTAACAGACAACCAATCATTATCATCCTCGCCCATGCATCACATGTGGTGTGGTTTAAAGTATTACAAATTATATTTTTAACTACTCATTTGGTTTCTGCCTAGCTGTTTTAATAGGAGGTTTAGATAGATGTGAATAAATAAGACATACATTAACAGAACCTGCGAATTGACTGACATTACATTAGACTATAATAACAGTGCTGCTTTATAAAAACACTTATCATTCAAATGCCTTTATAATTGTTGTTTTTGGTCTCACGGTTATGTTTCCGATTATTTCACTTAAAATCAATCATGCCTATAACCAATCATAATTATTCCTTTAAGTTACTTAATGTATAGGAACAACTGTTTACAGTTCTTCGCACACCTGAACGACCAAGCTTATTTTCCAAACATTAGGTCTTTTAACATTATCCAAAAGGATTTTTGAGACTTCTAACACCTGCATCACTATTTAAGTGGTTATATGGATCGTATTAATTTACTATACGTACGGTGAATAGATTTTGTGGAGATTGTTCCATTTGATAATTAACATCATAGACAACCATTAAGAAATTGCTAAGGAGAAAACGGCTGTTCAGTGCTTCTAGGTTTTCCGTGGTGGTCTAACGTTGATCGGTTCACCATCTCAAATGAAACTCAACCATCTCCACAACCCTATACTGATGATTTTACTGTTATTCGAATATCTAGTGGAGGGTGAATGAATTAGACATCAATGCATATGCTGTTCAGACTGAATTACATTTTCTACAAACGGAATCATTACTTCGGGTTCTTTGCATTAAAAACTCAATCAATCACTCTTAACATTTAAAATGATAGTGTAAATTCTCTGATATTATTTGAAATGATAAGTATCAAGGGTATTACTGCCTTTATATTCAACTAACGACTGTTAAACAGAAAGAAATATTCATTCAAAAATGCAAGTTTTAATTGTCATCAGAGTATTTGGCATTTTCTCTGTGGAGATTATGTCAATTTACTCAATCCTTACTAGTTGGCAATGAAATTCGAACATTGTTTTAATGTTCATTTGCATAGACTCAGAGACAGAGAGAGAGAAAGTAACTTTTATTACTCATTTTCATTTGTTTATTAATTAATTCCTTGTAAGATGAAACCCATCTAGAGTGGTAAAGCGAAGAATACTGGACTGAATTCTTAAATAAAAATAAGGTCAGATTAGGTCATGTTTGTTTTGAACTAGTCAAGCTGTTTGTCTTATTTGTTAATAATAATAATAATAATAATAAGCAATAATAATAATGGTATATATACCTAAAGTTAGCAGCGAAGAAACAAAATACATTTTCTTATCAAATACAACCTTCCACCAGTAGTGAGGTAACACAAAAGCAACTGAATAGTATTTATTTTAATGGTTTCGGTGTTATATGGGCTTTATGGTTTCATTTTAAAATCAGAGGCCACATTATAATTTCATCAATAGGATACAATCGAGATGAAGGACTAGATGCACATGACATCGACCAATACTCTGATTGCTCGGTTGTAAATATCGCATTCTTACAGATCAATAAACCTATGTTCCTCGGATTTGATTCCTACGGTATCAATCCCTGACTATTGCCAATTAGCAGGAAACCTAGACCGAATTTCCCACTGACTAAATTCAATCACTCTTCATTTGTTCACATTTTTCATACTCATCAGGCACTGATTATATTCGAACGTTGGCGATAATACTTAGCTTATTTGATTAAACTGATTATCGAATTGCTGAGTGATAGCTTAGCTGGTAAACACATACCGTTTGTAAAAGATAGCAGATAGTAGAATATGTATTTAAAATTAGTATGTAAATTTATTCAATAAGAAAAAAACAGTATTTTCGAGTGCGGATAGCGTATTGTACGTGAGTTAAAATAGATGATGTTAGACATTCGAATTCTTGTCAAAGAAGCAGGGTCCGAATCCCGCGAGCAAGATCGTGGATGCTCACTGCTGAGGAGTCCTACAATTGGGTGAAACGGCCGTCCAGTGCGTCCAAGTTTTCAATGGTGGTCTAACATCAATCGGTTCATGATCTCAATTATAAGAATCAGGCGTTGTTTAAATGTAATAACCCCTATGAAACTGTAACCACTCGTTTATTATTTTGAATAACCAAGATATTGATTGTAAACAAAGTCGATACATCTGCACATTGAGTAGACGATCAATTTAATTCGGTCAAAGTTAATAACGTTACCTTCAAAATTTCGTTCGATATTCAGTCAAACAATTAAATACAAATTAATAATTTGAGTTGCTCTAGTATGAAGGTGAAAAGTTGACAAATAATTTTATTTGATATTAGAAATAGTTTTAAAAAACCACATGGTTACATCTAGGAAATAGCTCGTGAATCAGCGAATTTTATTTGAAAGAATTAGACTGAGATGAGAGGATTTCTAAGAACCAATTAATCATTATGTTTGGTTAACAAAACTTCACACATTATTCTGTTTAAGGTCATTTCAACTAGAAGTTCAACAAAGAAAACTTCTTACAAATATGACAGATCGTTTGAAATATTTTTCTCACACTGTCAGGTCTACTACAATAATAAGACTAGTTACGTTTTATCAAATCCAGGATTCACAACCCAAAATAGTGAACCAGATTAAAACCAGACAATACTTTATTTAACACAA